ATGACGTTTGTAGGTTTGCAAGAAGTTTTGTGAGGAGTATTATTGGAAGTATTGCAAAAATGGAGAAGGGGAAGGATGATTTGTTAAGAGATGTAAAGGCAATATAAAGTTAAGAAATACATAAGAAGTGGTTAAAACGGTGGATCATCAGAGGTGCTGATGGAAGTCTCAAAAGATTGTATAAGTGATAAGTTTTGTGGTACATTTTATAATTTATATGTTAAAATCAATAAAAATTATTCAAAAAAACAAAAACAAAAAAGCAATGAAAGTCCTCCACAAATGCTGGTTCTGGATAATGGCGGCCCATAAATTTCTCAGTAGATCCTCTGCTTTCTTCAATTTGCTTTGCGGTTGTTTTCCGAAAGCTGTTATGACGCTCAAATCGCTTTCAGCTTTGTAGTCTTAGCCACCTTTAGGGCACTGAATTTTCTTTTCTGGAGAGCCATCGAAGGAAGTTCAGCTCTACATATTTGCTCCATGAGATCAGAGTCTTCTGGGGGGTGGCGGGGAGAGGAATGAACCGCAACGCTTGGCATCGTGGCAGCAGAGAGAATCCGTTTTCCGTCCCGGGCCCTTATGGGCGCACATAAACGAATGTACAGGAAATCCAGCCTGTTGGCAAGATTTATGGAGGTGCTGAGAGCTAGGAATGCAAGCGCCGGCCCTCCAATCGGGCTCTTGGAACCAACTGTGCAGGTACAGACAGAAATGCTTAGGGGTGTGCATATATAAAACACCCCCTGCCCTCCAGACCAAATATTTCAACTGCAGTGCTTCTACATAAGATACTTATTCTCTCCCCTGCCCCCCCCCCCAATCATAAACAAAGGAAAGGATTCAAAGTGCCTCCTCCATGTGCAACACACATGTCAGATCATGTGTTGCTCTTTGCAATAAAGAGCCCTTCATCTGCCTCCCTGGAGTCTCTTTCACACTCACTTTTCCAAAAAAAACCCCTCTTTATTTGTTTCCTTTTGTCTACCCTTCCTCTGCCCCCACATCGCATCACTTAGCTAAAATGAAGTTTTATATTGATTCCAGTCCTGTCAGAATTCAGGACTTCTATGGCCCAAGCCTCCCTTATCTATCTTCTTGCGAGTGTGAGTGTGTTTTAAACCAACGAGTGTTGTTCCTGCAGAATTTTAGCTCCACGTGAAACAAGGGAGAGGAATGGCTGGGATTGTCCAAAAGCTGATGGTCCCTGCAGCACGTTGATGATGTCATCAGGGCGCACCAACGCAAATGAGTTTTGGGGCGGCATACAGCGTACATAGCATCCTCCCTATGATTTCATGTGTCCTAGTTAGGGATGGAAGGAGGCGGATTCGATTTAGTTCATATTTAAAAGCGAGCCTACAACAGCCTCACTTTCCAGAACGATATGCGAATCAGACCACAGCCACCATTCAAAATGTACACATGTGTGGATTTTGCAGGGCAGTTTTTTAGCAGAAAAATGTGCCAGAAAAATGCACATACAGCAGTACCTTGGTTCTCAAATGCCTTGGTACTCATACGTTTTGGCTCCCGAAAACCCGGAAGTAAGTGTTCCGGTTTTTGAACGTTTTTCAGAAGCCGAACGTCTGACGCGGTTTCCGCTTGAGTGCAGGAAGCTCCTGCAGCCAATCGGAAGCCGCACCTTGGTTTTTGAACGTTTCAGAAGTCAAACGGACTTGCGGAACAGATTATGTTCGAGAACCAAGGTACGACTGTACTAGGATGTAGTGGGGGGGGAGGGGAATGAAAATATATTAACGAAAATAACAGAACTGCAATATATTAGGTAACATTGTTTTGCAAAGATGCACATCTTATTGGTTGCAAAAATGTGTCTATCAGGATACATTTACAGTGGTACCTCGGGTTACAGATGCTTCAGGTTACAGACTCCGCTAAGCCAGAAATAGTACCTCGGGTTAAGTACTTTGCTTCAGGATGAGAACAGAAATCAAGCGGTGGCAGCGGGAGGCCCCATTAGCTAAAGCGGTAGCTCAGGTTAGAACAGTTTCAGGTTAAGAACAGACCTCCAGAACGAATTACGTTCTTAACCCAAGGTACCACTGTACACTAAACCGCTGGTGGATTTTCATGGGAACTTTTAAAAATAATAAACGGGTTATTATGATCTGCCCTGCGTTGAGGCTCTGTAGACTTAATACCAAAACCTAGAATTAGACCCCGTAGCTCACAGGCAACCGCTACCAGCCTGGTGTAGTGGTTAAGAGCAGTGGACTCGTAATCTGGTGAACCGGGTTCGCTTCCCAGCTCTTCCGCATGCAGCTGCTGGGTGACCTTGGGCTAGTCACACTTCTTTGAAGTCTCTCAGCCCCACTCACCTTACAGAGTGTTTGTTGTGGGGGAGGAAGGGAAAGGAGATTGTTAGCCGCTTTGAGACTCCTTTGGGTAGTGATAAAGCGGGATATCAAATCCAAACTCTTCTTCTTCTTCTTCTCTAAGACCGGTGTTACGTTCTCCCAAATTGTTGCCCTTCTCCATAGCCAGGCAACTGCATTCTGCACCTGCTGCAGTCTACAGATTTCAAGGGCAGCCTTATGCAGAACCCATTGCAACAGTCCAACTATGAGGTTACTAGAGACCCATTTAGCTCATTCCAGGAATGGCCACAGCTGGCGAACCAGCCCTCGCTGGAAATTGTTGTGTCCCTCTTCACGAATGTTTTATGGCCCTCTTGCCTGAGGTTAAAGTTGCCGTTCTGCTGATTTGCAAGATACGCTGTCTCCCGCCTTAAGTGCTTGAAAGAACTTTTGCCCACCTCTCCTCCTTTCCCAGGATATTGGAGGTTATTATTACCTCGATTTCTACAACAATTCAAGGAAAGCTCGAGGCAATGACCTGAAGCTCCCTGGAAGGGATCCCAATATTCCCCCGAATAGAAACCACATGTCAAATATTTGCACCGGAGGGGAACATTCTCTGATGTAATGAGAACTTAGATTGATCAGCTCCTTATCTCCTGGCCAACGAAAGCCTGCAATTCGGAGAGGGAAGGGTAAGGGCAGAGAACGGTTTGATATATAGATGGTCAAGGCAGGGAGGCAGCAGAGAAGACATTCCTTTCCTCCTACAGAAAATCACCTCCTTAATTAACTTTTTAAAAGTCAATTTTCAGCAGGATTAAAGTGCCTCTGCCTTTGTGGCAGCTGGGAGCGTTTGGGAAGCAGCGAGGCAGCCCTGGAGCCAGCGTGATGTCAGCTTGCTACCCTTTAATGGGTCCACGGGGCCTTGTTGGTTCACGCTTGGCCCCATAACAGAAATGAGAAAATGGGAAAGGCGGCCTTTATAGCGACTCCGGGGAGAAAGGAAGGGGTGAAAGAGAGTTTTCTTGCAATTTCCTTTTTCGATGAGAGGAAAAGTGGGATTCCCCACCCGCCTGCCCTTTTCCTTATAATTCCTTTGAGGGTGAGCAGTAGGGGAAAAAAAGTTCACGAGATGGGGCACAGTCAACGCGAAAAAGGGAAAAGGTAGAATTTTGCCAGACCTTCCATTAAGGTAAAGGTACCCCTGCCCATACGGGCCAGTCGTGTCCGACTCTAGGGTTGTGCGCCCATCTCACTTAAGAGGCCGGGGGCCAGCGCTGTCCGGAGACACTTCTGGGTCACGTGGCCAGCGTGATGAAGCTGCTCTGGCGAGCCAGCACCAGCACGAAGCTGCTCTGGCGAGCCAGCACCAGCGCAGCACACGGAAACGCCGTTTACCTTCCCGCTATAAAGCGGTACCTATTTATCTACTTGCACTTGGGGTGCTTTCGAACTGCTAGGTGGGCAGGAGCTGGGACCGAACGATGGGAGCTCACCCCGCCGTGGGGATTCGAACCGCCGACCATACAATCAGCAAGTCCTAGGCGCTGAGGTTTTACCCACAGCGCCACCCACGTCCCGCCACCCTTCCATTAGGATGCGTCCAAATCATTGCTGTTTTTGAGTGGGAGTCAATTGCATGCTGGCAAATATAGGCTGTGCAGTTATGGTTGGTTGGGAGGTACGGATGCCACCTTTGTTGTCGCAAAATACAGCACAGGGAAGGCAGCTGTGGGACAATTTTTCCCCCCATCTGGTGCTGAAGTAACTTCAAAGCAATCCATTACAACCTATGGCAGCCTAACAAGATTGTCTCTTGGGGATTTCTCTCTCTCTCTCTCTCTCTCTCTCTCTCTCTCTCACACACACACACACACACGAGAATTTATAAACCTGTCTGTGTCTGGCAACTCAGAGCTTAAATAGCTTTCACACACCCTTTCAAACATTTGCATTTGGAGAAGATCCTGAACATGGAAGAATGAGAGAGAGAAAAGAAGAAGAAGAAGAGTTTGGATTTGATATCCCGCTTTATCACTACCTGAAGGAGTCTCAAAGCAGCTAACATTCTCCTTTCCCTTCCTCCCTCACAACAAACACTCTGTGAGGTGAGTGGGGCTGAGAGATTTCAAAGAAGTGTGACTGGCCCAAGGTCACCCAGCAGCTGCATGTGGAGGAGCGGAGACACGAACCCAGTTCACCAGATTACGAGGCCACCGCTCTTAACCACTACACCACACTGGCTCTACATTGGAGAGGTACACATGCACCACAATCTGAAATACAGGACAAAACTGTATCAATATAGGATGTTGCATTTTACATTGAAATATGGGACAATCCTGTATTATACAGAATAGGTGGCAACCCTGTTGGGAAGTCTTGCACAACAAGCCTGCTTCCTCCCCAGATACTGGACTTTTTGCCAGAAGGAGCGTGATGGGGAAAATTCACTCGGAAGTGTGGGGGTGACACTTGCTTGATGATATAATAATAATAATAATAATAATAATAATAATAATAATAATTTACTATTTATACCCCGCCCATCTGGCTGGGTTTCCCCAGCCACTCTGGGAGGCTTCCAGTAAAATACTAAAATACAATAATTTGACAAATATTAAAAGCTTCCCTAAAGAGGGCTGCAACATCATCTAAGCTCTCTGGGGATGGGGCCACGTCTCAGTGGGAGAGCATCTGCTTTGCATGCAGAAGGTCCTGGGTTCAGTCCCTGGCATCTCCAGGTGTCCCTCATCTGTGAGCGTCCCTCATCTGAAACCCAGGAGAGGCACCGCGAGTCACTGTAGACAGTGCTGACTCAGCACAAGGCAGCTTCCTATGTTCCTCTCTTTGCAAGACAGGGAATGTTGCGTGGCGTGTGTCTTCCCCCCCCCAGTGGAAATAAAGACACGTGACACAATTATTTAAGGTTAATGGGTTAAATAAGGCCACAACTTTATTGGTTACAGGTGATGAGCGATATTGGCTTAGGCATTGGTCCTAACCGACTATATCCAGCTTCAGCCCATCCGCTTGAAGTCCAGGAAGGGTTAACCACCAGTAGGAGGAGTCCTGCTGATGCACATCAACTAGGAACTCCCCCGGGGTCACCAATAGGGGGCGTGCCTTAGGCCCTCACCTCCCCAGGCTTCGGACAGGGCCACGCTCCCCAGAATCCTTTATCGGACTGCCCTTCAATATGCGGGGCAGGTGATGGCACTTCCTCCCCTCTTCATCTACATAACAATACCAATACCTAACCGCCAATACCAAGGAAGTTGTGACGATTTGCTACGAGGTAGGCGAAAACCAAGTGGCTGGTGCCAATTTGTCAAGTGGAAAAAATTCCTACCAGGCCCCTCAACGGCGACCAACCACGGTACATAGCAAGGTCAAGGACGAAACCTTAAAAGGCGGGAGGGTGGGAAACTGGAGCAGCTGGAGGCGGCCAAAGAGGGAGATCCCTGGCCGCCCCTGCGTTAAATTGGGCAGGCCACACACCCTGAACCAGCCAATTGGCTGACCAGGGGATGATGCGCCCGGGGATTCCCTCAATCGCGCAGAGGCTGAGAGCCAGCCACCGCGCGCGTGGCGGGGGCGTGCAGCCCGCAATCCCACCTCCTCTGAAGGCGGAAGTGGCTTTGTCCGACCTCTCTGAACACAAATCAGGATGAATGCTTGATAAACAGGCCGTCTAGAAGCACCCTTAGTGTTAGCAAGCTTTTTTCCAGTATCATTTCCAGAGATTCCAGAGATTATACTGGAAAGAGTAATAAGGGGGCATTTAAACAAACGTTGTTGCACCCTCAAAAGCAAACTCTACAGCTCAGCCCCTAGGAGTTGGTGCATGGTGCCGCTGAGCCTAGTGTTGGATACAGACAGGGATTTAGAAACTGCTGCTGAAAATCTTGTTCTGTCCTGAGTGGTATTTGGAGTAAAAAACAACACCCCCCCAGCAAACTCCCTTAAAACGCTCATTCTGTTAACATGCCTCCTCCCCGCATTCTGTGTCCATTTTTATGGCTTTCCTTTCAAGTCTCCCATCAAATGGTTTTGAGCACCGCACAGGTTAAGAGGCCTGGCATAAAAAGGACAGTAAAACGAGAAGCATTTGCAAAGATCCGTTCTGTGCAAATACCTGGGGGAAAACCATCTGGGTGGAAACTGTGCAGATCGGAGCTGGTTAAGTCAAACTGAACAGCTGCGAGAAATCGAAGCACAATGAGCCGGAATAATTTACTGCCCTTCGTTTGCACAAACAATGCAGAAGAAGAAGCCCGAATCTTCAGTCTCCTCTTTACAACGCAACAGATCTTGGTGCCAAGATATCCCCCCCCCCTTGCAAATAATGGCATTGTTCCCAGATGGTGGATATATGTCTGCTTACTCTTTGCTGTGTTCATAAACAGAGAGGAGGGGGCAAGAATAAAGAGAATGTCTTCGTGTCCCGACTGTTCTTGGTTAAGAACATAAGACGAACTCTGTTGGATCCTTTGTCTCCAGCATCCTGTTTTGTACAATGCCTAGTCAAATCCTTCCCAAAAAACCCACAAGCAAGAGGTGATGACAATAATCTAACCCCCTTTCACATTGCATGTCTCTAGCACAAGGGTGGGGAACCTCTGGTCCCCAGGCCTAATCTGGCCTCCTTATTTGGCCCACAAAAGCCAAGTCACAGCCATCTGCTGTCGTGGACTGGCTAGCTGCAAAGAAATGGCGAACTCCCAAGAGAAGAAGGGTCATAGCCCAGGGATTGGTGGTGTGACATTGATGAGTGGTCAAAGGGAGAAGACTGGGAGGAGGAGGTGTCGGAAGATGGAGAGATAACAGGGCTTAGTGAGCTGGGAGACTCTGTGAAAGACAGCAGTCCAGAACCAGAGCAGAAGAGGAGGCTGGAGAGGAAGGTAGCCAAAAGTGCAGCTTGGACTACTGCCATGCACTCTACGTGGGGCTACCTTTGAAGGTGACTTGGAAACTGCGATTAATCCAGAATGCGGCAGCTAGACTGGTGACTGGGAGTGGCCGCCAAGACCATATAACACCAGTCCTGAAAGATCTTCATTGACTCCCAGTATGTTTCCGAGCACAATTCAAAGTGTTGGTGCTGACCTTTAAAGCCCTAAAAAGCCTCGGTCCAGTGTACCTGAAGAAGCATCTCCACCTCCATCGTTCTGCCCAGACACTGAGGCCCAGCGCCAAGGGCCTTCTGGCGGTTCCCTCACTGTGAGAAGTGAGGTTACAGGGAACCAGGCAGAGGGCCTTCTCAGTAGTGGCGCCTGCCCTGTGGAACACCCTCCCATCAGATGTCAAGGCAATAAACAATTATTTTACTTTTAAAAGACAACTGAAGGCAGCCTTTTAGGGAAGTTTTAAATGTCTGACACTGTACTGTTTTTAATATTTGGTTAGAAGCCGCCCAGAGTGGCTGTGGAAACCTAGCCAGATGGGCGGGGTATAAATAATAAATTATTATTATTATTGTTATTATTATTATTATTATTAAGGCAGAGATGAGTCAGGCTGCAGGAGAAGCCCCTGCTGCTGAGACCTGCTCCCCTCCCCTCTGGTCTCACAGAATCTGAAGAGGCATGAAGAGGGTGGAGCAAAGGAAGATAAGGCGACGAAGTCTCAGATTGCTTGGGAAGGGCCCAGGAGATAAGGGGACTTAGGGAACGGTGGGAAGGTTCAGTCCTCCCAACTGCCTCATTGGGGCAAGGTCTACTGGGAAGAGTTCTTGTGCTCACTAAGCTTGGACTCATTAGTGTTTCCTTGAATAAAGAGTTAACTTCACTGACGCTGTGTGAGTTATTGCTGACCTGCTCCCGGCACCCGCCCTGTGGGGCAGATAAAGGCAGGACTAGAATGAAAGATGCTTTGCAGGCACCAACAATCTGCACAGCTCCTTGAGCAGTAGTGCTTCTTGTAATTAATAGTTGGCAGGGCCCTTAATCACTTGGGTCCAGCATAGCTCGGGAATTGTCCCTGCCCAATCACGGGGATCTTGCAGGGAGTCACTTTTGGTGACTCATAACCACTGATCATCTTGATCTCCATGAATTTGTCTTTTAATGCCATCCAGGTTGGCAGTCATCAATTCAATATCTTAATCACTTGATCTAAGGTTAAACACTCACATCAGAGTTAGCAGAAAACACCAGTAGTTAATTATCAGCTACGATTCAGGTTGCCTGTCCTGAACCATCCAACGTTCAGCTTCACTTGGGTGACCATGAGTTCCAGTGTTATGAGACATGGAGACAAAACATTTCTCTATCCACGTTCTTTCTGCCACACATTATTTTATGTAACCTTTTACTTGCCTTTTCTCTAAACTAAAATTTTAAAAAACCCAAGCTTGCAGTCTTTCCTCGTAGGGGAATTGCTCCATCGCCTTGATTGTTCTCCTCAAGAAACGTGGTTCTTGGGCTTACCCCTGCCTTAGGAACACCTGCGATAACCTGGTACAAGCCTTACTATTATTGGACAGGGTCTGGTCCTGGCCTGACTGTCAGTCTAGATATACTGTATTTTTTGCTCCATAAGACGCACGTGACCATAAGACACACCTAGTTTTTAGAGGAGGAAAACAAGAGGGAAAAAAATATTCTGAACGAAACAGTGGATGTATGATTTTTGCGGTTCATGCTGTGGCCACAGACATGATATGTGATTTGATGGTGAGTTTGGGGTAGCCCAATGCAAAAATCATGAGGATCCATGTGGATCTGTGCTTTGTAACCACGTTTTTGCGCCATTGTAGCCCCACGCAACAGTGGGTGCATGATTTTTTTGGTGCCGGCTGTAGCCATGGAGATGTTATGTGATCTGATGGTGAATTTGGGGTGACCCAATGTAAAAATCCTGAGGATCCATGGGCTTTTCCTCCCCACTCCCAGGCAGCCTCCTTTATCGCTAGCCTCCCTTATCTCTCTCCCGATCCCACCGATCAGCTGCTTCCTTTCAACACCTCCTTCCCTCTTGTTTGCCTTAGTGTCTTTTCCTTAGCTGGAGCAGTTTTTTGCTCCTCCTTTTCTTCTAATTTCTCTCCTCATTGCTTTAGTCTTCCTGTCTCCTCTCCTTGCAAGTTCGCTGTCTTTACCTCCCCCCTTCCAGGCAGCCTCCTTTATTGCTATACTCCCTTATCTCGCTCCCGATCGCTTGCCGATCAGCGGCTTTGTTTCAACACCCACGTCCCTCTTTCAAAAAAAAAGGCATGATCTGCTTTTCGCCCCTGGGCAATTCGGCTCCAGGGACCACACATTCACTCCATAAGACGCACAGACATTTCCCCTTACTTTTTAGGAAGAAAAAAGTGCATCTTATGGAGCGAAAAATATGGTAATATTCTCTGCAAAGCAGCATGCAGCTCAAACCCAGGACTGAGCTAACGCAATTGCCGTTGATGTCAGTGGGTGGGTTCGTGTTAGAGACAGACTGCCCCTCCCTGGCATCCCTTCTGATTCAAATAGGAATCACATCTGTGGAATGGGAGAAGCATATGGGACTCCCTATAATTTTTAACATGCATAGCCCCTCCCCCCCCAATTCATTTTTTTTAAAAGAATTCAATTGACTCCAAAGCTCATCTCTGGCTTTTGTTTTTTAAAGCTATCTCTCAAATATTCACCTTTTTTTTTTTTTAATAAAAAAGGTAATACTTCATCTTGTAAAAAAACCCCACAAAAAACCCACCCCAATCTTGTCAGGGGGCTGCATATAAGTTACAGTTGCTAATACTAACCAGATCTCCCTCTAATAATAACAGTAATAATGATATTTTTTTTTAAAAAAATGCATCTATTCCATCCCTGTGAGGTCAGTCGGATCAAATCCGCACACTGCCATAAAGAGGTTTTTTTTTTTTTTAAAAAAAGCTATAATGGCTCTACCTGGTAAAAAATTAACTACACTCAATTAAGCTTATAAAGGACTCCGGGGTGTGGGTAAGTGATGTGATAAGTGCACACACAGGATTTCTCTTCCACAGGAAGGAGGGGGGGAAAGCAGAGAGAGCCTGAGTCATCTGAGCCGAGCGGTTATTGCATTATGATAAAAGGACACCATATATTTCCTAACATTAAAACAAATCAATTTCTTAAATTTATGGGGCAGCTTATTAGCGCTGCTGTAAGTAGCCAGAGTGCAACTCAACAGCTGCAGACGGAGAGCCGGGTCAGATCTTTCCTGCTTCTCCTGATGTTTTGCAGAGTTCTGGTTCCCCTGGTAACGGTGAGCCACCTTAGAATCACAGAATCGTAGACTAGGGAGGCAACCCAGGGGTCATCTAGTCCAACCCGCTGCAATGCAGGAATCTCGTCTAAAGCATCCATGGCAGATGGCCATCCAACCACTGCTTAAAAACCTCAAAGGAAGGAGAGTCGACCACCTCCTGAGGGAGACCGTTCCACTGTCTAACAGCAACTACCATCAGAAAGTTCTTCCTGATGTTTAGTCAGAATCGCCATTCTTGTAATTTGAATCTGTTGGTTTGGCTGCCAGCATTTTGGAAGATGCAGGATTTGAATCTATGACTCCTCGCTTCCAGATGCTGACATGTTTATTGTGCTGTGCACTCTCTTTCTTCTCTTCAGTGATCCCTCGTAGTCGAGTAAGATTGTCTTCCATGAACACGGTCTTAACAGTGAATCTGTAAGTGACTGTGGAGGCCAGTTCTGGATCCATACATGCTTCCACAGTGGGGACATTAGTTTCCAAGTGGGAACTGATCACAGTGAGGGTTTGCCAAGCGTGCCTTCCTCTTAGCATATTTCTCCTTTTCATCCTGTGTTTGAGTGTCTTCAAAGCCCATGACACCTTTGGGAAAGGCTGTTCTCCAACTGGAGCACTCGCAGGCCAGTGTTTCCCAGTTGTCAGTGTTTATACTACATTATTTTTAAAATTTGCCTTGAGACAGTCTTTAAACCTCTTTTGTTGACCACCAGCATTACGCTTTCCATTTTTAAGTTCAGAATAGAGCAGTTGCTTTGGAAGACGATCATCAGGCATCCGCACAGCATGACCAGTCCAACGAAGTTGATGTTATTATTATTATTATTATTATTAAATTTTATTTATACCCCGCCCTCCCCAGCCAAGACCAGGCTCAGGGTGGCTAACACCGGTATAAAAACAATTGATTGAAATACAACTTAAAAACAAGATTAAAATACAACATTAAAATGCATTAAAACGCTGGCCTGTGAGCGCTCCAGTTGGAGAACAGCCTTTACCAAAGGTGTCATGGGCTCTGAAGACACTCGAACTCAGGACGCAAGGGAGAAATGTGCTAGGAGGAAGGCATGCTTGGCAAATCCACACCGTGATCAACTCCCACCTGGAAACCAATGTCCCCACTGTGGAAGGACGTGTGGATCCAGAATTGGCCTCCACAGTCACTTACGGACCCATTGTTAAAACCGTGTTTGTGGAAGACAAACTTACTCGGCTATGAGGGATCGCCAAAGAAAGAAGAAGATTTTCATGCATTTTTAATTTTGAAAAACCAATTGAATTGCAGGTTAGCGTGAAAAGTGACAGAACAGACTTACTGAGTGAGCAAAAGTGCCATTGGACAGGAAACGGACTGCTTCATCCATCCCTCGTTTTCCAAGGTGCTCCTCCCATTTCTACCAATTGTGTCTTTCCTCCAGGGAGTTGAGACAAAGCCCAATGGGCTGCAGGAGAGCCGTATGATTCAAGCTGACCTTCTCCTGACACCCCAGCTTGGCTGGGACCACACATCTCACTTGCAAAAGGCAGCACATTGGTGCCAGGAGCAATCAGGGAAGATGCTTGCGAGCGGATTTTTTTCAAAAAATATATCAGAACTGCAGGCTGCTGATTGTACATTTCATCATTAGGCCATCACAGGTCTGCAGAGATTTCTTAGCCATGTAGACTGGAAAACTGAGAGATGCAATTTCAGGGCATGTTGACACCATCCATTTAAACTAAGCTAGCTCTGAATCAAACCCTAGGATGATGATGATGATGATAATAATAATAATAATAATAATAATAATAATAATAAATTTATTTATACCCTGCCCATCTGGCTGGGTTTCCCCAGCCACTCTGGGCAGCTCCCAACAGAATATTAAAAAACCCAATAAAACATCAAACATTAAAAACTTCCCTAAACAGGGCTGCCTTCAGATGTCTTCTAAAAGTCAGGTAGTTGTTTATTTCCTTGACATCTGGTGGGAGGGTGTTCCACAGGGCGGGTGCCACCACCGAGAAGGCCCTCTGCCTGGTTCCCTGTAACCTCACTTCTCGCAGGGAGGGAACTGCCAGAAGGCCCTCGGAGCTGGACCTCAGTGTCCGGGCAGAACGATGGGGGTGGAGACCCAAGAGAGCTTGGGTTGCAGCAAAAAGTCTCTGGATTAAACTCAGAATCTTATGTCTGAGTCAGGGACCTCACCCCTAACATTATCATTTCAGAAATAGGCTGGGGGAAAACAAGGTTATGCTCATATGCCCCCATTTTAATATGCCCAGGTTGGTGGCTCTTCACTGCCTCCTGCTGGAGAAAATTCCATATTTTATCTATTTGCTTCCTTTTAATGGCATCTACGTTGGAAACCACCACTGCTTACTGTGGGATGGATTGCCATGGTTCACTGGAGCAAGACGGTCTGAGCACATTACACCGATCCTGGTCCGACTGCACTGGCTACAGATTAGTTTCCGGGCCCAATTCAAAGTGCTGGTTTTGACCTACAAATGGCTCAGGACCGCAATGCCTAAAGGACTACCTCTTCCCATATGAACCTACCTGGACCCTGAGATCATCTTCTGAGGCTCTCCTTCATGTGCCTCCTCCTCAAGAGGTCTGGAGGGTGGCAACATGAGAACGGGGCCTTCTCTGCAGTGGCTCCCCATTTATGGAACACTCTCCCTAGGAACGTTCACTTGGTGCCTTAATTATACACCTTTAGGCACCAGGCAAAAGCATTCCTTTTTAACCAGGCCATTGGTTGATCAGTTTGACATCCAACACCCTTTTAGAAAGTGGCTTTTTTTGGAGGGGCGGGTGTTTATCGGGTTACTGCTTTTGGTTTGATTTTGTATTTTGTGGTCCTGTTGTGAACCACCCTGAGACCTGGTATAGGGCGGTGTATAAATTGAATAAACAACAACAATGCACTGCATGGATAAGTACTTCTTTTGCAGTGGCATGTGGTGAAATTTTTCATAAGAGCACAGTTAGGGCCAGAAGTGCCAGCGTGCAAGGCTGATTGGCGGGCGAAGGGATGTCCCGACATCGCGTGTGTGAGCATCCGGGGCTTTGGGAAGGTGGCGCCAGGCTTTAATACTTTAACGCTTTTGAATTCTGGTGCTGGAGGAGACTCTTGAGAGTCCCATGGACTGCAAGAAGATCAAACCTCTCCATTCTGAAGGAAATCAGCCCTGAGTGCTCACTGGAAGGACAGATCCTGAAGCTGAGGCTCCAATACTTTGGCCACCTCATGAGAAGAGAAGACTCCCTGGAGAAGACCCTGATGTTGGGAAAGATGGAGGGCACAAGGAGAAGGGGACGACAGAGGACGAGATGGTGGGACAGTGTTCTCGAAGCTACCAGCATGAGTTTGACCAAACTGCGGGAGGCAGTGGAAGACAGGAGTGCCTGGCGTGCTCTGGTCCATGAAGAGTTGAACACGACTAAACGTCTAAACAACAACAACGCTAATTTACCAGGGGCATTTAGAAGACTAGCTTCGTGCCCCTCGTCCACTGACTTCACGACATTGGAGCAAACCTTTGAGGAATGAGGAATGGTGGTGGGGTGTGTGTGATCATAGGTTTGAAAATCGCAGGGCTGTTCCAACAACACTTGCTTGCTTGTTTACATACAGTGGTACCTCTGGTTGCAAACGGGATCCGTTCCGGAGCCCCGTTCGCATCCTGAACGGAATACAACCCGCGTCTGCACGCCTGCGCATGCGCGGGCTGCGATTCGCCGCTTCTGCGCATGCGCGTGATGTCATTTTGCACGTCTGTGCATGCGCGAGCGGCAAAACCCGGAAGTAACCCTTTCCGGTACTTCCGGGTCGCCATGGAACGCAACCTGAAAAGATGTAACCCGCAGCGTTCACAACATGAGGTATGACTGTATCAGCATTTCCAAAGGACTGGCTATTTAAAATCTCTAAGTGGTGTACAAGGATACAAGGAGTAAAACAGAGATGAAAACAGGACCCTGGTTGTAGTAACCTCTGGGGCTTCCCTCCTCCCCTTCCAAGCTAGATAGGATTCCATGCTATGAGCTAACACCACGTCAGTATAACCTCTCTGGTTTCAAGAGTCTTAGCGGGAGAATAAATTTCATCCTCTCCCCCACCATAAGAGTAACCAGAGCAGGGCTCCCAATACATCACGGCACCCTGATGTCTTGACCCCTCAACTCTCTTCCACGCTGAATGGATTTGTCCTCGCGGCAGAAACATTCGCTACGTTCCGAAATCCCGGAGCAGCCAAAGGCAGGTCAGTTTTTCGTGCGAGCTGCTCATGTTCAGTTTCAGCTGAGCCCAGCTAACAATGGATTAGTTAATTAAGTTATATGAGAGCAGGATCTTACCACACCTCATCCTCCCCCAAATGCCCAGGATCGGCCGCTTTCAAAATCCACCATCTGCATTGTTTCAAACACAGAAGAAAGTCCAAGTTAGGGATTTGAAGACTTTGAAGTCCCATTATTTCCTTCTAAAACGCATTGGCCACGGGATTCAATATGTTGTGAATCTCGGCTTTGCATGTTTCTAGTCCAGTGTGTGCATTGTACCTCTAGCTAGAAAAAGCTTCTCACTTTTTTGCAATAATATTTTATTCTTTTTTTCCGTATAGAAAATTGCATTTGTTACTTAACAATTATATTACAGTTTGACAAAACTAGTGACTTCCCACTCACCCAAATGTTTATAACTCAAATTACATACAATTGTGTTTTAATTTGCGTTTTAATTTCACCCTCTCTAACACGTTGATAAATCCTGCTGTTTTCTTACACTTTAAACCCCACTGTGATCTTTGCATATGGGAAATAACTTTTTCATATAGACTAGACAGGGTTTCCAGTCTTTTTTAAAAGATTCTAAATTTGTACAGTGGTACCTCGGGTTACAGATGCTTCAAGTCAGATAGTCCTTTATTTCCTTGACATCTGATGGGAGGGTGTTCCACGGGGGCAGGCACCACTACCAAGAAGGCTCTCTGCCTGGTTCCCTGTAACTTCGCTTCTCGCAGGGAGGGAACTGCCAGAAGGCCCTCGGAGCTGGACCTCAGTGTCCGGGCAAAACGATGGGGGTGGAGGGAAACCCAACCAAATAGGTGGGGTATAAATAATAATATATTGTTATTGTTATTATTATTATTATTACATTGGCCAAACCAGTTTCCAAAATATATACCATATCCAGGCAAGAAGGAGGCATTATCAGAGTTCAAGCCAGGAAGAAGCATACAAGGAGGCTGCAAAGCAGGGCATAAGGAGATCAGGTCATGGCTTGGGAAGGTTCCCGGGGGCCAAATAAAGAGTCACAGAGGGCCGCATCTGGCCTGATATGCCCTGTCCCTGATTTAGGACATCTAAGTTCCACATTAACTTAGGAAGCTGCCTTCAACGTGCCTCCTCTGCCCCCTTTCTTTAAATATCTAGGTCCATTTCAAAGTGAATCGAACAATTGCCATTTCCGCAGCAAGCCCCGTGACCTACAAAGCCACCCCTCTGAGCTTTGTGCCATTTCGTCCTCTCCTCTCCCCCATAACCACCTCCAGCCCTTCCGAGCGAGCGCGGAAACTCTGGCAGCAAAACCCATCCGTCAAATTGGCAACACAGAGAGGAAACGACCCCTGACCCCGGCTTAAAATGAGCCTAGATGAACCTCTGAAGGAGGAGGGGACCCAGCAGGCTGCATAAAACCCCGCTCCCCCCCCAATCTTCTCAGCCACCCCACCACCACCCCGTCCCGCTGGCCCAAAAATGTAATGAATAAAAAGCCAACATTTGGTTGCCATTACTGGTGATTAGGATAAGCTGTTTTAAAATATGAAGTGGGGGAATTTATCTTTATTTCCTAGGACAGCCCAGATGAAGACAACACAGCCCCATCTCGGTCTTCCGAGCTGTCTCGGTTTTCAATCATTTTTCTTTGTCAGATATTCGTCTTGCTTGGCTAAAGACCCCAACTTAGACCCAGGGCTGGTGCAGTCTTAGGTGGAGGCATTGATTGGTTATCTGCTGTGGTTAAGATGGCACAGGATGTCATAGAATCGTAGAATTGTACAGTTGAAAGGGGACACAAGGGTCATCTAGCCCAACCCCATGCAATGCTTGAACCCACGACCCTGCAATTAGGAGTCACATGCTCTACTCCCTGAACAGCAATTTCCTGGGGTGGGGGTGGGGAATGCTGGATTTACGTATAAGCTAGTTTAGGGCTCTACTCTCTTGGGGGCCTCCCAAAAAATTTAAGGGGAAAAAACTGGATGTACATTTCCAAAATATAAGATTAAAAAACAAATAAAATAAAACCTACATACAGCGACAGTGTTTTGTGTTGTGTAGGCTCCTGTTATATAAGTCATGGGCCCCGCCTGCTAGCCTGCTCCCTAAAATATCACTGGTTCGCTCCTTTCTATATATCTGGCTGGGTCTTCCCAGCCACTCTGGGCGGCTTCCAACAAAATATTAAAATACAATAATTCATCAAATATTAAAAGCTTCCCTAAACAGGGCTGCCTCCAGATGCCTTCTAAAAGTCAAATAGTCCTTTAGTTCCTTGACATCTGGTGGGAGGGCGTTCCACAGGGCCGGTGCCACCACCGAGAAGGCCCTCTGTCTGGTTCCCTGTAACCTCACTTCTTGCAGTGAGGGTACCACCAGAAGGCCCTCGGCACTGGACCTCAGTGAACGATGGGGGTGGAGATACTCCTTCAGGTCTACTGGGCCGAGGCCGTTTAGGCCTTTAAAGGTCAGCACCAAAACTGTTGCAACAATTGGGGACCACTCCTCCTCCATCAGTTTATGTACCTTTTCCCCATGGGCTCCACCCACATAGCCAGAGACTGCATCTGCGTGGAAGCGGCCATAATTCTCTCCTGGTTCTGGGAGACAGTGGTGTGGGATGTGTAAGCAGCCAGCCCTTCCATTGCCTGACTAGCCTCTTCCTCCTCTTCCTCCATCTCTGAAGCTCCCCATGCCTCTAATTCTTGCCTTCGGGCTGATACAAGCCCCCCTAAACTACTACCCCCCTCTCCCGAGTCAAATCCCGGCCCCCTTAACCTGGTACACCCTCGTCGGCTTCCTGCAAGTCCCTGGCATTTTGTAAGTTATTTTGAGTCGCCTCTCACGGGGGGGGGGGAGTGCCTAATAAATTAACATAACAAATGCTAATAAGAGCAATTAATCTCATTGGAAACAATTTAAAGTTACGTTACTGTCTGCTCAACTCATCTCTTCGAATGCTGGAGGGGTAATCAAATTTCTCTGGCTTGAGTCGTAAATCATTAGAAAAAATTAATTACACATGCTTGTTTATTTATTTAAACATTTGCATACATATCAGGTGCCTGAGGTTTCTTTTTTTTAAAAAAAAGATATTCATTTTGATTTTTATTCTCCTTGGAGGGCAGTGCCGCGGGGTCCATAACTCAACATTACCCGCATGCAATATGGTTTAAACCAGACACTGATATATGGGTTTGCTCCTGCTTCTATTCAAGTCAATGGAATATTTGCTCAGGGCCTGAAGGAAAGAGGCGAAGGGTCTGAATATTAACTTGCCTTTTCCTCCCGGGGAATCTCTTTCTGATTCTTAAAAAACAAACAAGGCGCAAACCGGTGCAGAGAGCGATGGGATGAGGGAATAAAGCATGCCAGAACTCCACCATAAATTTCAGGAGTTCATAAAGTAAGGCAGCGAAGGAGAGAGAAAGAGGAGACTTCGAAAGAGAATGATCCCCTCTCTTTCTTCGTGGCCATCTGGTGATCTGTTTTTGTCCTGGTCGTGGCTTGGCAGGAATATCCCACCCGGGACAAGGAAGGTCACAACCAGACAAGAAGGAAATATAATTTCTTCCTTCCCTGAAGTCCAAAGTGGGGGACAGTTGAAAGGTAAACTCATCCGCCGGTGAGCTACTGCTACTTCCCCGCTAGCCAAGGAAAGCATGTCATGAACATAAAGAGACCTTTCCAAAGCTTATGGCTTCAACAGAATGCAGATCTTCCTTCCCTCTGACACATAAGAAGAGCCTGCTGGATTGGGACCATGGCCAATCCCGACCAGATGCCTTTGGGAAACCCGCAAGCAAGATTTGAGCACAAGAGAACTCACAAGAGAGCCAGTGTGGTGTAGTGGTTCAGAGCAGTGGACTCGTAATCTGGTGAACTGGGTTCGCTTCCCCGCTCCTCCACATGCATCTGCTGGGTGACCTTGGGCTAGTCACACTTCTCTGAAGTCTCTCAGCCTAACTCACCTCACAGAGTGTTTGTTGTGGAGGAGGAAGGGAAAGGAGATTGTTGGCTGCTTTGAGACTCCTTAGGGTAGTGATAAAGCGGGATATCAAATCCAAACTCTTCCTCTTC